AAATGTTATAAAATTTTTATAATGTTAGAATTTAATGTACAGTACTTGTTAGAATTGACATAGGGAGCCTTGAGGAAATCTGCATTTAGCAAGGGCACCTAGTTACACAAGCATTAGTTGGTACTTTTAATCCAGACATAAGTTAAATACATATAAAAAGAGCATACACTAAACTACACATTCTACTAAACTAAACTAAACTACACTACACATTCATTGTATTCTATTTTAATTTTGCTATTTTGAAAAAAAATATCTGCAATTTTGAGATTCTAGAAATATTTTGTTTAGAGTTTTGCTTTCAATTTATGTTGCTTTCATTAATATATTGAACTGTAATAAAATTTAGAGTTGAAACATGAATTATAATATTTTTATTTTATCTAATTTTCTCCTTTGAATTTAGCAATTAATTCTATTGTGACAGCCAGATAGCCAAGACAGTTAAGTTGGGGATTGAATCTGGGCTGTCAAAAACCCCAAAAAATTTTTCATAGGTGATCGATCTGTTCTAGATATATTGAGCTCCATCCTTCACCATTCAGCCATCCCCATTTGGGTCTGGCCAAATTCACAATGGGTATTATTAAAAAATGGCCATCTTAATGTCCACAGAGCAAAAAGATTTAAATGAGAAAAAAATTTTATTACTATAGTACTTTTGATTCAAGGATAATATTTCTGTAGAAACTGATGGTACCTGCATTTGTGAACAAAAAAAGCTTTAAACTCAATAGTCATCTGTTAAATTATATAGAATACAAAGTAATTTCTAACATTTCTAATAAATATTTAACATGAAAGAATAAGTAACATTATAAACATGCAGCTATACATCAAATGTCAAGTATAATGTAACTTGAAAAACTTTCTTTTTGACATCTGTTGAAAATATAACAAACATTGATTTTGTATTTTGTTCAAAAAATACAAGACAATTTGAATGTGTTGTATATTTAAGAAAATGTCTAAATCTTGTTTTAGCTACCTAAACAAACTTATAAAATGCACATTTCTCTTTTTTAACATATCAAGTTTCATTATTAATAAGAAAAAATCAAAACTTTCCTTTGTACTTTTCAAAAAATTTTAATTTAATTAAATGCTCAACAGTTCAACATGTTTCAATTAATAATAATTAAGAAAGAATTATTATTAATTGAAGCAATTTATAGTCACAAAAAACAATTTAATATAAAATCTTAATCCTAATATGAAACTTTTTCAAAAATTTCAAAGCTAGAATTAGTAACAACAACAATTAATAACACGATTGTCACTAAAAAATTACCTAAATCTGTGACTATCACTTAAATAATACTAATAATATATTTATTAATTAAAACTTAAACATTAACTCTTAATTCTTATCAAATTTTAAAGTTTTGAACCTATGAAACCTATCCTATGGAACCTATCAAACCTATGAAAAATTTTTTGAGGTTTTTGACAGCCCAGATTCAATCCCCAACTTAGCTGTCTTGGCTATCTGGCTGTCACAATAGAATTAATTGCTAAATTCAAAGGAGAAAATTAGATAGAATAAAAATATTATAATTCATGTTTCAACTCTAAATTTTATTACAGTTTAATATATTAATGAAAGCAACATAAATTGAAAGCAAAACTCTAAACAAAATATTTCTAGAATCTCAAAATTGCAGATATTTTTTTTCAAACTAGCAAAATTAAAATAGAATACAATGAATGTGTAGTGTAGTTTAGTTTAGTTTAGTAGAATGTGTAGTTTAGTGTATGCTCTTTTTATATGTATTTAACTTATGTCTGGATTAAAAGTACCAACTAATGCTTGTGTAACTAGGTGCCCTTGCTAAATGCAGATTTCCTCAAGGCTCCCTATGTCAATTCTAACAAGTACTGTACATTAAATTCTAACATTATAAAAATTTTATAACATTTTATGGCGCCCCTGTGAGGAAGCCACGGCACACACTTTGGAAACTGCTGGGTTATGGAATGTTACATAGAACAAAATTTAAATAAAATAGAACTCATTAAATTTGTGCTATGGTCACAAGTTTAAAAGAATGTTGAAAAAATTTAAAATAAAATACAAAACAATATAACAGGAATTAAAGAAAGTATGTAAGTACAAATAAGTAAAAATATTTTTAGTTACTTTAATTTTGTTATTTCTTTTTATAAGATTATAAATTGCATAAAAAGCCTTTCATTTGTAAGATTTTGAAACTTTATAAAATTACTAAATTGTATTTAAATAAAAGCATAAATTTTTAAAGAAGTTAAATTTTTCTACTCACACTGCAATAAACAATTACATATTATATTAAAAACTGGAAATATTTTCTTCATTTTCAAATAAAATATTTATTATATTTCAATAATAATAATCTGACATGTTAGTAAGATTATGTATCACTGTATTCTGATAATTTTGCAACAGGTGAATTAATAGCATCAGTTATCAAAAAAAATAAAGAATTAATAATAATTAAAACACCAAATTACCAAGCCAATATTCTCCTTCAGTATTTCCAAATCCATGTTTATAGTCTATCCAATTTCTCAAAAAATCCACACTTCCATCACTTCTTCTTTGAAATACCTATATTAAAAATAGTTATCAAATGATTTTGGGTATATAATTAAGCCAGTTTTAAATTGAATTAAAAAATTATTTTATAAATTTACATTAATTTTTCTATAGATGAATATATTGTTTTATAATTTTACATTAGTTGTTGTTAGCTATAACATAATGAAGGGTGTATGAGAAATACAACATACACTATTGTTATCATCTTGTGATGTAATTTAGATATAGGCTTATTTCTTTTTTGACTTCTGCTCTTTATGCATAATGGATTGACATTGAATTCTTGGTGGCCCTTAGGATGTCCAAATGATGCTCCAACTCCTGCTATGTGTTTTGCTGCATCTGAGGTGTGACTTGCCTAATAGTTGTCACAGTGTGTCCTCAGTTCCCATGTTCTGCATGGGTATGGAATAGACATTGCCTTTAATTAATGTAACCCCGCAGGAAAAATTGAGCAGAGTGAGGTTTGGTAATGATGCTTGCCATGGATAGATCCTCTCTGACTAATCTAGCATTTTGGAAATTCTTGGTTAGGAATTTCTTGATGATCAATCTTAAAGTGCACTACACATTAACTAGGAGTTGTCATGCACATATTTTTAGCATGCACGAAGGTTCTTAGACACCCACACCTTCATATTGTCCCTGTTGACCTTCTCTAATAGATTGAATGGAGTATTGGTGGAGAAGCAGATTCATGCTAGGTACTAGTTGTCATTTCTTGATTTTCTCTAACTCATTTGTTGCATTGGCATAGATAGTCATCTGGTAAGTTCAAGTGCCTTCAGCATCTGCAGTTTGTAGGCATACAAATGGAGATGTTTACATACCATATTATGCAAGCCAAATCACAATCAGCAGAGAGAAAAAATATTGATTAGTTTAAAAATGCACAAATGTTTTCAGCCTGATTAATGTTTCTCAGCAGTCATGGAGACCTAATTGAACCAGTGTTTATAAACTTTTTATGCAAATGTTTGATACTTCTGAAATGTAGCAAATTTCTTTGATGCATATTGTGAGATCATAGGTTTGAGTTTGCCCAAAAAAAAAAAAAAAAAGAAAAATGTTTAAGCCTAATTCTCCGTTGCAATTGTTAGAAAAATATTGCTCGAAAAACAGATCAGATGACGCTCTTTCTGTCAACAAATGGACAAGAAATCTGACAGCCAAGTACAAATTGATAACATCTGATTGTTAGGAGAGTGAAAGTCAAGCGTTGAACAAATTAACAGAGGATTCTCGCAGGTCCCAACCAAATATGGGCACGACAACTGCAATCAAATGACATCTTTACATCATCAATGGCTCACCTCCGATCTAATACCTGCAAAATTAACCTTTGTCTTTAACAACAGTAGATCACATGAGCACTTTTCCAGGCTAAACCAAATAAAAGGAATAGACACTGGCACTTCAGGGCGTTCATCCCAAGGAGGTAGTGTTAGTCCTTAGCCCCTCGTTGGCCATACGTAGCGGACACCAGTGGACTATCCCAAGATGTCATGCAATAGGTGCACATCTCCGGTTTCAACGGATGTCACCATAGGAAGGCACCCAAAAGGAAGACAGATAGACTCATTATTATTCACCGCTTCCCGTTCCGAGGTATCTTGTTAGCCAATTGTTTGTAAACTCTCTCTCTCTCTCTCTAGTTCAAGATTAATCAGGCATCTTGCGGCATAGGAAGTAGAATAGTCACAACACCTTGTAAGATTTGATATTATCTGCATGTAATTGCTATATTTAGTCATCTAGCTTGTATTTTCTTATGTATCCTAGGTTAGATATATATTAAACTTTTGTTTTGTTTGTTAAACCTGTTTGCTTGTCTCTCACTTGAGAAAATGGTGTCCATTTTCCCAAGTGAGAGTGACACCCTCTCGACTTACCCATGTGCACTCCCCACTTAAAATTAATTGATGCTCCTACTCATCATTTAAGAATCGTGAGTTAGGACGGGATTTAGCATTATCCTAACTGGTGTCAGTCCTGATGTTGGATGGATCTCACAATCCTGCCAACCCTCCCTTGAAAGCCATCCACAGACAATGAGATCAGGTCTTACCGACCTGTTACCGAGTAAGTGGTTTATAGGCCCCTTGGCCCTGGCTTATCTCACAATATGATGGAAGTTTGATTGCATGGCATAAACAAACTTTCTCTTAATAAACTGAGACACACACTACACCTTCTCTTATGGTGTCACCATTCTGTCATTGTTTTATGTCACATTGCCTGCACTGCCCTACAATATGTATTTACTAACAAAAACTTGGAGTAATTCATTGCTAAAGATGATGCGTTGCCATTTCATATCAAGTCAGTTTTTGTTATGGCACCACTGCAAAGTTGAGATGTGAATGGCAAAATATGTAGTGATTACCATGCATGCAAATTTGTCTGTCAATGGTACAAGAAGAGACATGTTCTATAACTAGGTTTCTGTCTGTTTCTGGATATCATTACATTTGCAATAATAAAGTTTTATTTGATTCCAAAGCCTTCTTCTTGGTGCAAAATTTTAGTTTTCAATAAGTATGTAATAACGATATTATCCATGTTAAAATCTTTCCTATTTATTTTTTTCTATTTTTATTATATCTGCTAACAGCTAATAGTCAGGTCAAAATGGCTCAGATGCAGGCAATTTGGGGAAATGGTCACTCTGCTTCCTTCAGCCTAATGATGTAGTCTTTATCAAGCTCTGTCAGCTGTGCATGTCTGACTATCATAGAGGCATGCCTGGAATTGGAAGTTTTCCAAACAATAGGTATACTAGAAAAAGAGTCTCTGCAAGTTTTTCTATACAATACTCTGACATTGTAATCTTACAATGACATTACAATTGTAATCTTATTGCACTCCAGGTAATCATAACTATCTGTTTGAGACATAGCTGAATGCCAAATTTTGCAGTAATCAGACATTTCTATATTTATGTGTAATTCTTTGTCAATGAGTGTATAAGTGGGAATGTGTAATAATACCATATTTTCATGGATTGACTGGCACGCTGCATATAACTGAGGAGAAAACAATGCCAGAAACCCCAGGATTACCAGTATGCTGGTTAAACTGCAATTAAAATATAAAATTAATCAGATTTAACAAAATTAGTTGTTAAATAAATGTTAAAGAAAATATTCTTCTAAGTACAATAAAATAATAGCATTGCAATTTGACTGAAGAGAATTTTCATTTACAGGACAATAAAACAATTAGTGGCTTATTAACATCAGTAGTATTAGTAGTTAGTCAGTGTGGGCTGCACTGACAATCTACCCTGACTCCAAAAGATAACAGCATCCTCTCAAATTTCACAAAAAGCAGATATTAATCAGGGTGTGTTTACTTCTGACCGAATAGTGCTACTTCTAAACACTGGAAGTGATGTCATTAGCATTTGTATTTGTGCTTATATGTCCTTTTGAAAGTAAACGTGAATGCTAACAAGAAATATGGCAGTTTCCTGCAAATAATATTGTCAAAGCTGCTATTTTAAATGTTATGTTACAGATAGAACTACTTGATTCTGAATCAGACGAGGATGATTTTATTGTGGATATAATTGTAGAAAAAATGAAAAAAGAAAAGTAAGGTCAAATAGTAAAAGAAACTTTTATTGAAGAGACTGTACCTTTTTATAATCCAACCAATTTTAAACAGCATCAAAATTGGGCTTATTTTTTAAAGGAGACTTGCAAGAGAATATTTTGAAAGTCTCCTTTAAAAAATAAGCCCAATTTTAGACACAGATGGGTCATCTTCCAGAGGAAGTAATTTATGTCTCATCAAAAGCAGATTTTATACTTCCTATGGACATTGGCAAATCAAGAATCATTCAGGTTTGTTTATACGAAGCAATATATGAAATTAGATGCAGTATATAAGAGAATAGCAGATTATATATAATAATACATATTTAATGCGATTGTTTTATTACCCAAGTGAAAGGATGTGATGTTGCTCTTTTATGGTGTAACTAAACTGAGTTTAAAATCATCAACAAGTAATTGATATTAAATACAAAAGATTTTTTTTCTTTCTTTTCTCTAAGGGTATTAGCGATCATTTTAATAGGATTAGACGGACTGTGTGAAATATTTTAAATAAGGTTGTTAATTCTCTCTTAGTGTTAAATGAAAATGAAAAAAATAATCTCTTGGTCATCACAGAGCAGGATGATGTAAGAATAATGGAATTTTTTATACTCAATCCGGTTTTCCTGGAATTACAGGCTTCTATTGATGAAAAACATATGGCTATTAAGACATAAGCTGCTGCTTCTTCAGTTGATTTCAATAGAAATAAGTATTACTCTATCATCATATAAGTTTAGTTTGTAATGAAAAAATGGTATTCAAATGATAGTTTCTTGAGAAGTCATTTCCCATATGTAAGTAAAAATTCATTCAAGTATACGAACTTACGTAATTTTGGATTATTGTTAAGGCTGTTCATTTCTTTACGATTTATTTAATGCTATTTAATTTATTCAATGCTCTGACCATAACATTTCTGAAGATTCCAAATGCATACAAGGTAAACTTCACTTTTAATCATAAACAATGAGTCAAACTTAATTTTTTTTCACATCTGTTTATGAAAAAGTCATCTAAAGCTATTGAACCTTACAATAAAAAAAGATCATTGTAAACAAACGAATAATTGAAATTTACCAATAAAAATACTTCATGCCATTTATTTTTCCAAAAATAATTCCATTTTCATTACTTTGTACAGAAAGTAATTTTTTCATGGAAGCAGCTATATTGAATTAGCACAAAGCTCGACAATGAACTAGCTAGCACTCTGAGCTTACCAATTTCACTAAATGTGATGTAACATAGCTCTAAAGTACACACCAATGAATGTGGTGCTTGGGTAAAAGTATACAGGCTGAACGTGCTGACAGTAAAATTAGCTCAGAAGTAAATGCACTCTCGGTGTAAGTTGAGATAATTTACAGTGAATTTCTGAAATTTGATATGTTTATTTTTACATTTTTGGATCAACTTACAATAAAATAAACATAAAAAAAGCACTATTGGCAATCTGTGTGTATTTTACATTGTTAAAAAGAATACAAAATGCAGAAATTAAACATATAATTGTAAGTTTTGATATAATGCTGAGTTTCACAATTTTAGAATATAAACTAGTTTATGAGTTTCAGGTGCCCTCTGGAGAGGGATGTATAACCTCACTTAAACCAGCATGCCAGTTTTTAACATATGGAAATATCTGATTTTATGGTCTCTCCTAGATAGACCAATATACCAGACAATCTGTGAAAAAAAAGGCATGTAGATTGATGTATAGAAAATGGGATAGAACTAAAGGTAAGGAATATATATACATGTGTGTGTTTGATGGTTTCCCAAGGAAATGGTGATAACATATAAATATGTATAGCATGTAAAGGATTTTTCACAATTTTTATTGATGTTCTTAGTAACTCTAGATAAAGGAAAAGCTGTTGAGAAAGCTCGTAATTGCAATTTAAAAATTTACAGATAACCTGCATCCCATTTCAAGTTGATTTTAAAACAGATAACCTGTGGGTATTTTGCAGGAAATTATAGTAATTAAATATAGATCTATTTGATTCATATAATGATATATACATAATAGTATATGTTATATTTGAATACATTATTATTATTTTACAATTTTTAAAATGAAAATATAACATACTGTCCATCCACCACCTTCAGTTTCCATATCACAATATACAAAAAATGGCCGAACTGCAAATTCTGGTTGGATTCTGTAAATTCCACTCTTATTGTAGCCTGCTTCAAGTATTTCTTGGCAATCTCTAGATATATGTTTCCTTGAATCTGTTAATTAATATAATGGGCTTACTAATTGCAATGTCTTAATATTTTCAGAAATACATTCTGAAATTTTACTAAAATATAATAATAAACAACAACAAGAATAATAAAACTTATAAAACCAATTGGCTAATTGATTAATAAATAACATCATAATATAACCAATATAATATAAATATCTACTCAAAAGAAATAGATGAACTGAATATACAATTCATATATATTATTACCTGGTGGTAAAGGCATGACACATGTCATCTGAGGTGTTTCCTGTTCAGATAAAGTGTTTCTTATAATAGAAAGAATATACTGTTTACTTGGCATATTTTCTGTTTGATTATATATCAATCTGAAAATAAGATAAAATTAATGTTTTTAAAAATGACCATATTCATTTACTTCAGTATATTCAATATAATAATAGCACACGTCTATTAATACTAATTTTTTATTCATATTTAATTTCTGTTACTTTTTCATTTTGATTTATAA